AGGTGATGTTTTACGCCATTCAATCCCAGGGTGGGGTCAATGATAGCGGCATGTTCTACTCACTCTACTTCATCATACTAGTCCTCTTTGGAAATTGTACGTTTGGGTTAGGGTTAGGGTTATTTGGGATGTTTCATTTTTTTCATTTTCAGGGTTGTTATCGTCGTGTTACTCATTTATATAGCGCCTCAGGCTAATAAAATAAAACTTTAGATCATCTTTTTTTCATGCTGACTCGTCAGGCACAAACAACAATGCATCAAATACGTTGAAACCTTATAGCATTCGAACCTGGCCAATACGATTTTGAAGTTGGACAGTTTACCACTACACCACCATTAATATAATTTTCACCACCAACAACAACAACAACATCTTCACCATCGTCGTCACCAAAAAAAAAATCAACAGACACCTTGTTGAACGTCTTTCTCGCCATTGCGGTTGACAATTTGGCAAACGCTCAAGAACTCACAGCTGCAGAAGAAGAACAAGCTTTGGAAGAGCAGGTTAGTAGGATGGTGATGAAGACGACGATGATGCTGCTACTGTAGCTGCTGTGTTGTAGCTGCTACTACTACCACTACTATTACTACTAATAATAATAATATGTATTATTATTATTATTATTATAATAAAATAATAATATTTTCAGCAAGCGGAGTTGAACGGGAAGGGATCTCCATCTTTGCTACTGCAGCCTGCCAGATCAAAATCCGACATGTCAGTATTATTGCGATAATATTCAAAAATTTATACCTATAAATAATAAAAATAATTAATATTATTTAATTATTTATTATTTGATAATTTTTTATTATTCCTGATATCTTTGCAGAGTCGTTATAAGCGAGAGTGTTGATAAGCAAACAGCATTCGACATAAACGAAGGTATCGTCATCATGATCATCCACATCATCATCATCATCATCATCATCATCATCATCATCATGATTATTATTATTATTATCTGTTATAATAATTATAATTATAATTATAATTATTACTACGTGTAAGCAGCAGTGGTTATAAAAGGAAGAGTGGGAGATGGGGATGACTGTGACGAGGTTGATGGCACCAACGTTGTACTCCTTTATTCGTCCATGTTCATTCTATCCGCTGATAACTCGTAAGATGATGATGATGATCTTTGCCACATTATCTTCATCATCGCCACATTTTTTTCATCATCGCCATCACACTCCTCGTTATCAGTTTCAGGAAATTTTGTCACTTCGTTGTCAGTCTACGCTACTTCGACCCATTCATAATGATCATCATCTGTGCATCGAGTATTTCACTGGCCGCTGAGGACCCTGTCACTGAGAACTCCACCAAAAATGAATTCCTCAATCTCTTTGATTTCGTCTTCACGGCTGTTTTCACCATCGAGATGGTGTTGAAGGTGGTGTCGATGATGGTGATAATGGTGATGGTGATGAAGAAAAAGATGATGATGATAATGGTGATGGTGATGATGAAAAAGATGATGATGATGGTAGTGGTAACGATGAAGAAGATGATGATGGTTTAAAAACTGGTGTGATTATTCTAACAATTGTCACGGAGATTAACCTCAAATTCGTTTTTGAAATGAAAAAGTTATATGAACAATTGTTAAAACATAATATAGCAATAATAATAATAGTAATAATAATAATAATAACAATAATAATAATAATATAATTTCCTCCTCATAGGTGATAACATTGGGGGTAATATTGCACCCGGGCTCGTATTGTAGAGACCCGTGGAATATTTTGGATGCGGCAGTTGTCATATGCGCGCTAACTGCCTTTGCATTCGCGTGAGTTCCTAAAATTACTACCACTATTATAAAACTGATACTTCTGCTGCTGCTACTTCTACTTCAACTGCTGCTACTACTACTTCCACTGCTGCTGCTGCTGCTTCTTCTACTACTACTTTCCCCCTTTATAATTATGACCAGGGGTGTGCCAGGTTCAGCCGGAAAGAACCTCAACACCATCAAATCCTTGCGGGTACTGCGTGTGTTGAGGCCACTGAAAACTATAAATAGAGTGCCTAAGTTGAAGGTCAGTAAGGGTAATTAGAATAATTTATTATAATTTATACATTTGCTTATTTAATAATTATGATAATGAAGACCCTCGTAATTGTAACAGGCTGTATTTGATTGCGTGGTGAATTCTCTGAAGAACGTCTTCAATATAATGGTCGTTTACATGCTCTTCCAGTTCATATTTGCAGTCATGGCCGTGCAGCTCTTCAAAGGAAAATTCTTCTACTGTAACGATGATTCCAAAGATAATAAGCCGGATTGTAGGTGGATTGATGTTGTTGTGGCTGCTGTGGCTGATGTGGCTGCTACTGCTGCTGCTGCTGGCGATGAAGAAGATGTTATTGAGAAAGATGATGCGGATGATGTCGATAGAGATGATGATGTTGCTTCATTCTTTTCTCAATTTTGTATCATCTTCTTACTCATCACCATCATCATCATACTCATCACCATCACCATACTCATCATCATCACCATCATCATACTCATCATCATCACCATCCTCATCATCATCATACTCACCATCACCATACTCATCATCATTATCCTCATCATCATCATCATCATCACCCTCACCACCATCCATAGAGGAAATTACTTTGAGTACGAGAGCAGAAACGGAGTTTACGTGGCCACTGTAAACCAGCGGAAATGGAAGCAGTGGGATTTCCATTATGATAATGTTGCCAGCGCCATGTTGACCCTCTTCGCTGTTCAGACTGGAGAGGGCTGGCCTCTGTGGGTGACATCTGGATGATTTTTTAATATTTTTTAATTAGTATTCATTAGTAATAATTACTAGTTTATCAAACTTTCAGAGTCTTGCGGCATAGTGTAGATATAACCCGTGAGAACAGAGGACCTCAGCCGGGCAATCACATGGAACTTGCATTGTTCTACATAGTCTATTTCATCGTGTTTCCATTCTTCTTCATCAATATCTTTGTCGCTCTGATCATCATAACGTTTCAAGAGCAAGGTTTGTTGGTGTTGTTGGTGGTGGTGGGTGGTTTGTTGGTGTTCGTGGTGGTAGTGGGTGGTTTGTGGTTCGTTTTTTCATTTTTATTTTCTCAAAAATAACTCAGGCGAACACGAGTTGGAAGATCAAGAAATGGACAAGAACCAAGTCAGTAAAAAATCATTTGCTGACACACACACACACACACACACCTTCCCCGCACACCACACACACACACACACACACACACACACATACATACATACTCACACACACACGCGCGCACAGAAACAGTGCATAGATTTCGTGATGAACGCCAAGCCAACTAGTAGGTACATGCCATCACAGAAATGTGGTCTGCGCTACAAAGTGTGGCAGCTGGTCGTGTCGCCACCATTCGAGTACTTCATCATGTCTATGATCGCTTTCAACACTCTACTCCTTATGATGAAGGTGATGATGACGATGGTGGTGGTGGTGATGATTATGCCATTATTCGTACTTATTTATCAAATAATAATGTCATATTATTATTAATCATAATTATTTATTTATTAATCTTTCATTGTCACTATTTGATAGAAGTGTAAGCCAGTAGGCCTGACATACGCTCGCATGTTTTCCTTGCTTGGATAATTATAAATAATTATATATAACTAAGAATACTCACAAATATTTATGAATACTTGGGAATATTTACGAACGCTCATGAATATTTACGAACTCTCATGAATATTTATGAACGCTCATGAATATTTACGAACGTTTATGAATATTTACAAACGTTTATGAATATTTACGAACGCTCATGAATATTTACGAACGCTCATGAATATTTACGAACTCTCATGAATATTTATAAACGCTTATGAATAATTCCAGTACACCCAGTACCCAAAACCGCCGAAACAGTTCGGCACGGCGGAAACCTCACTGACGTACACAAACGTCCTCACAAACATGAACATGTTCCTCACCATCCTATTCTTCGTCGAGGCCATTCTAAAGATCATCGCCTTCTTACCAAGGGTTATTATTATCATTATTTTTTTAATTATTATTATTGTTGTTATTGTTGTTGTTGTTGTTGTTATTGTTGTTGTCGTCGTCATCGTTATCAGAACTACTTCCGGGAGATGTGGAACATTTTCGACTTCGTGACAGTGCTGGGCAGTTCGGCTGATGTCCTATTCACAGAATTCGGCAAAGGCATTCACGATTCTACAGTTGGTTATGATGATGAGGAGGGGGAGGAGGAGGAGGAGGAAGAAGAAGATGATGATGGGATGGTGATGGTTATGATGGCCGTGATGATGATGGTGTTGTTTTAATGATCGTGAAGACGGCAAAAACCAACCAAACCAATCGGTTTTTTAAATGACCAATCATTGATTAGACATTCAACCTGCCAATAATTTTTTTATTCATTCGGCCATTCATTCATTCACTCATTCATTCATTTGATAATCTATCTATTCATTCACTCATTCTTTCATTCATTCATTCACATGCACAGTCCGGCTCATTCAACATAGGCTTTTTGAGATTGTTCAGAGCCGCAAGGTTGATTAAATTACTGAGACAAGGATACACTATCAGGATACTACTATGGACTTTCATTCAATCATTCAAAGTATCATAAATATTATTATTTGTTATAATTATAATTATAATATAATATAATTATTATATTTATAATAATTCATAATTTTCAGGCCTTGCCCTACGTCATATTATTGATTGCAATGCTCTTCTTCATCTACGCTATCATCGGCATGCAGGTAGCATAATAATAATAATAATAATAAATAAATAATTATAATTGTAATAAATAATAATAATTATAACTATAATAAAAATTAATAATACTTATAATTAATAATAATAATAATAAATTATTTATGAAGTTCCCCATGTTTTTAGTCTTATGGGTACATAGAATATCAGCGCTTAGAGTGCTTAAATTGAAAAGAATGCCTCACATATGTGGACGGTGATCATCACTCTCTGCATTTGAACCCGGTTGATTCAGCGCAAAAGACGGACACTCTGCCAATACGCCATCATTTTTATCGTTATTATCCTCATCGTCATCTTCTTCTTCATCATTTCATTATCGTCACACTGAGGCAGATTTTCGGTAACATCGCCTTAGATGGCAAGACTGATATCAACAGACACAACAACTTCCGCAGCTTCTCTGATGCTCTCATGCTGCTATTCAGGTTCCTATCAATATAACATTGCAGTAATTGTTAATTAATTATTAATTTATAATTAATTTATAATTAATTAATTGTTATATTTGATTGTGAGTTTAATTTCACGCGCGCACACATCCGCTCACACAACACTGATTCACACACAACACATACACATTCACACCCGCGCACAAAACACACCCATTCACTCTCTCTTTCTCTCACACACACAACACACACAGATTCACTCACACAACCAACACGCACACACGCGCACACAAACTCACACACCACTTAGGTGTGCCACGGGCGAAAACTGGCAGCAAATAATGCTCTCCTGCATGCCAAACAAGACCTGCGACCCCGAATCGACCCACGCTAACACGTCTCAGTGCGGTCTCGTCATAGCTATTCCCTACTTCGTTTCGTTCATATTCTTCTGCTCATTTCTGGTTAGCCGGGTTAATTATTAGTGTTGAGTAAGTTAACGAATGAACGAACAAATGAACGAACAAATGAACGAACGAATGAATAAACAAATGAATGAACGAGCCAACAATCAACCCCAAAACACAGATGCTAAACTTATTCGTGGCAGTTATAATGGATAATTTCGACTACTTGACCAGGGACTCGTCAATCTTAGGGCCCCACCATCTGGACGAGTTCATAAGGGCATGGGCCGAATACGACCCCACCGCCTCGTAATTTATAATATTTATCCACTAATTATTCATGATTCTATTGTTGGTTATGATGATGATGAGGAAGAAGAAGATATTGATGATGATGATGATGATGGTCGTGATGATGATGGTCATGATGATGATGATGATGAAGTTGTTGTAATGGTCGTGTGAATACGGTGAGAATCAACCAAATTGATCAACTTTTCAAACAACCAATCAAACAATTATCTTTCCATAATTATCTTTCCATAATTATTCTTTCGTAATTAAAACTCCATAATTATTATTATCGTCATAAAAATAATATTTTAAACTGATAATAACCGACAGACGACGAATAGCGGTGTCGGATATGTACGAGATGCTACGAAACATGGAACCGCCAGTTGGGTTCGGTAGGAAATGTCCCTATCGACTAGCTTACCGGGTAATTATGACCATAATTATAATAACCATAATTATTATATATTATTATTATCGTAGTTTTTATTATGACGTCATAATAATAATAATGATGATGATGATGATGATGATGATGATGATGATGATGATGATGATGATGATGATGATGATGATGATGATGATGATATAGAAATTGATAAGAATGAACATGCCGGTTGGAGATGATGGTTGCGTTCACTTCACAACGACACTATTCGCCCTTATCAGGGAATCTTTGGGGATCAAGATGGGTCCAGGTCGGCGATAATGATGATGATGATGTCGTTGGTGATGATGATGATGTCGTTGGTGATGATGATGATGTCGTTGGCGATGATGATGATGTCGTTGGCGATGATGATGATGTCGTTGGTGATGATGATGACGATGATGGCCATTATATGCAACAACATTATCATCATCACTAGTGAGTGAGATGAACAGATGCGATGAATCACTGAAGGAGAGTATTAGAGCTCTGTGGCCAGTCCAGTCCAACAAACTACTACACCTTCTAATACCACCGAACTCTGGTTTTATTATTTTTATTAATTATAAAATAATAATTTATTATTATCATTCTGGTTATATAACAGTTTTATTATTATTATTAATGCATACATACATACACACATACAAACAAACATACATACATATATACATACATACATACACACATACAAACAAACATACATACGTACATACATACATACATACATACATACATACATACATACATACATGCATACAAACATACAAACATACATACATACAAACAAACAAACATACATACAACAGTTTTATTATACATACATACAACAGTTTTATTATTATTATTAATGCATACATACATACACACATACAAACAAACATACATACATATATACATACATACATACACACATACAAACAAACATACATACGTACATACATACATACATACATACATCAAAACGGGTTCATGCATACATACATACATACATACATACATACATACATACATACATACATACATACATACATACATACATACATACATACGTACATACATACATACATACATACATACATACATACATACATACAAACAAACATACATACATACATACACACATACAAACATACACAAACAGATCTGACGAGATTCAAAATGACCGTCGGAAAAAT